CTTTCGTACATATATATATATATATGCGTTGCGTGTTGTAGTAGCAAGTAGGGTTAGAAGTGCCTTGGCTGGGGTTGTAGTTATGCATGTCCACCTTCCCCTCACCCCGCTTGCTGAGTCCCCTCATCCTCCCAGTAAACCCCGAACGTTTAGGGTTTGGGGTCTAGGATTATTGGTACAGGGTTTAGGGGTTTTGGTCTAGGATACACAGGGTTTGGGTTTAGGGTTTAGGGCTTTGGGACTAGGGTTTTAGGGTTTAGGTTTTAGGGCTTGGGGAAAGGAGCCCTTAGTGCGAGCGAGGAGATGTGGTCATTTCGTTTCGCGGATCGCTGGGCGGCTGCGTTTGCCAAGGGGCCAACCGAGGCAGAGCAAGAGTTAGATTGGTTGAAATGGGATGTTAGAAGATGCCCGAACCGGATTTCGGGTTTAGGGACAGGTACCTTGCAGGGATGTCCGTATTTTCTGGGCTTATGTAGGTATGCAGGGATGTTTATTTGATATCCCTGTCCTACGTTCCTCTTGTGGTTTTTGTGGGCCCTCGTTTGTCTTGTGCTCTTCGGAGGACGGTTTTTAGAATGCTAGTCTACCCAGACCCTCCATCTACCCTCTAGACCCTAAATGCCCATTCATTTGGGACCATATACCCCTATTTGAGGGTACAAGGAGGTTCCTGGTCTACGATTCAGGGTTGTTGATTTCGTGTTGAGGGGTCTAGTAGCGGGCGCTTTGTTGCCCCCGCAAATATCCCAGACATGTACTCTGAATCAAAGGCCGCCCTCATGGAATCCACGGTTTAGGGTTTTAGGGTGTAGGGTTATGGAACAGGTGCCAAGAGTAAGTCATGGTATGAGCACAAAAGGTGACACTCTGACTAAACTTCTCGAGATGCAATTGGTGAATCGCTTATGCAGTTTGTAATTCTGGTGTTTTATGGTGTGTGAAACTTTACACACGAAACCCTTTAACTCCTGCAACACCCGGTTCAATCCTGCACAGCCCAGATGGGGTCGTATAAAAAACCCTAGCAAGCACTTGATTATTAAACCCTACAGCGCCGAAACGTACCGAAACCCCAAGCCCGACCAGCTAGAAAAACAGCCCTTAAACAGATTAGCTTCAAAACCACAATTCCCCAAACTATTAACCCAAGACGCCCTAAACCATTCAACCATAAGACAGACAAACGACAAGACGAAAAGCCCCACCTTTGCCAGGGCAAACCTGCGAGGCGTGTCAGTCGAAAGTTGCCTCCGCGGGAGGCCATGCGCTGTCATTGGGTTTGGCCGAGGGTCTAGGGTTTAGGGTTTGACCTGGGACTCAAAGATTCTGCGGGTTCCTTTTTGACGGGGTCCTTTAATGAGGGCAGTTTAGGGTTTAGGGCCAGTTTAGCGTTTGGTGGGTTTGAGGCGCTTTGTTGTTGATGAGGGGTTTAGTGTTTAGGGTTTCGCCGCTTGCAAACACCAGAATCACAGGTATCATGTAAAGAGACCGTCTTTGTTCGACGCCTGGACCAAAGTCCGAGATCTTATGCTGATTGGGGCTCAGGGCTTTGGTATTGGGTTGCCCGCGGCAAAGTTACCAACAACTACACAATAAAGCTGATCACTATTAACAAGATCCTGAGACCCCTGGCAAAACCCATACTAAAACCTAAAAACCTTTATGAAATCTCAAAAAACCCCCTATAAGCCCTGTTTGGTGGCTTTTGGAGCTCCGAAGTTCAACTTCTGACCCCTCCATCCTCAATACTAAACCCTAAACCCTAAACCCTAAACCCTAAACCCTAAACCCTAAACCCTAAACACCCTAAACCCTAACCCGGGTTGCGAGGTGAACCTGACGGCTTCGACCCCGACAGCGCCGGCGGCTGCACGGCAGGCTCGGGGTCTGCCAGTAGGGTTTAGGGTTTTGGGGTCCTTTAAGAGAGGGTTTAGGGTTGTGGGGTTTAGGGTTTAGGGTTTTGGGTTTTGGGGTCCTTTAACAGTTCCTCCTGTAAGGGATCTATAGGGGAGCTATAAGGGCAGAAGGCGTAGGGATTGCGATTAGGGTTCAGGGTTTGGGGCTGAGGAGTTCGGGTCGGGAGGGTTTGGGTTTAGGGTTTAGGGTTTATGGGTTTACGATTTAGGGTTTGTGGTTTAGGGGTTTAGGGTTTAGGGTTTAAGGTTTGGCGCGGAAGCAAATAAACCAACGCACGCGCGTCATCGCGTGAGTACACATGTGGACTGCGTGTACATATGTATTGCGTGTACATATATATATATATGTATGTGTCTGCATCCGCATACTCACACACACATATACGAATGTAACACATAATTACTGAGTAAGTTCACATTGTTGTTCTCTCTCTGTGTGTGCCGGGCTTGCAGCTTAGTGTGGCTTGGAATTGTTGCGTAGCAAAAGACGTAACTGGCGAACAATCGCAGGACGGGTGCGAGGTTGTAAGGCTTTCCGTATTATTATTATTATTGTTATTGTTATTATTATAGTGTGTATATATATATATATATTTATATTTTTTTTTTGGGGGGGGGGAGGGCTGCTGTAGGGCTTAGCCAAGGCCTAGCCAGGCAATACAGGTTTCGCATGGGCGGCAGTTCTGCAGAGCGAGACATCTCAAACCGTAAGCCCAAAACCTGAGACCCAGAACAATTCCATGAGAACGGAGTCAAGCCCCAAACCACCTAAACTTTTACACACCACAATAACCCAAGCTACGGCCTTTTCTTTACCAGTTTGTATAGAACTCTAAACCCCTTAACCCTAAACCTAAACCTGTATAGACCCTTATGCAACTCTTGTAGCATGCTCAGAGGAGCCTTTTAGCATCCATACGGAGCCTTTATCGCAACCTCCAATTAAGGGTTAGGGTCTAGGGTTTGGGGTAGTTGAAGTTCCTTTGTGGTTGGGGTTTGGGGTTTGCTGTTTAGGGTTTAGTTTACGGCTTGGGGTTTGGAGGTTTCGGGTCTAGCGTTCACGGGTTAAGGGCTTAGGGTTGAAACTTCCAACGTCTGTATGGACGGCCCTTGAGCGGCCTTTTAGAAACGGCTCTTTAGAGTGAGGGCCTGCCACTATATGTACCGAAACCGAACCCCCCCCCGGCCGCAAGAATTAGTCAAACTGTAGAGGCCCTAAATCCCAAACCATAAACCCTCAACCCCAAACCCTGAACCCTCCCTAGAAGTGTCTAGGAAGTTTTCTGGGGTTAGATAACTCTATACTCTGTGAGTTTATGCCCAACCCTTCATCCGAAACGTCCCAAACCCTAGACGCCTTGACCCCCAAACCCAAAGGGTTTAGGGTTTAGGGTTTAGGGTTTAGGGTTTAGGGTTTAGGGTTGAGACACTAAATCACAAAGCAACCTCATGTACCTGCAACTCTCAGAATAAAGCATGTGAGCCCCCCTAAACCCTAAACCCTGAACCCTATTGTCTTCTCACAGAACCGCGAGGCCAAACCGGCCCGTCGTTGCAGACGCAAGTTGAAATCGAAGGCTTGACGGCTTCAGGTTTACCTGAACCCCCGAACGTCCTACCTCGCCCTACCTGACAATGGATTGCTTCGGTTGTTATTCATTCATTCTTTGCTTAGGACATAAACACGAAGAAGCAACAACCCTAAACCCTGAACCCTAAACATGTAGCCCCAAGAAGTGTTTTGCGAGCGGTTTTGCGGGGTTCTCCATGCTTCGAGAAGCGGCCTAAAAGGCTCCTCAAGGATTCTATACAGGTTTGGGGCTTTAGGGCAGGGTGAATAGACAGGGCCTGATTCCACTTTCAAACGATACTTTGAGGGCTGTTCGGGGGCCGTAGTGTTCCTGCTTCGGGGTTTGAAGGTGAAGGGTTTGAGGACTTGACCCACTTGAACTGTATGCTGCTGTATGATTTGGATTTTCTGTGTTTTCATGCATTCTGATGGTTAGGATGGCGAAAACCGGGAAAGATCAACACTGTGGCGACAAATCGAACCTCATAGCACCAAGAAAAAGCACAACTTTTTCTGATCATGAAGGCTCCTGTGTTGAGCCAGGGGCCTGGGAAGACCCCGCGAGGTTTGGGATGCATGTCAGCATGTCTAAGATCTCACAGCCCAGTACTGGTTCCAGAAGATCCTTAGGGTTTAGAGTTTAGGGTTTTGGGTTTAGAGTTTAGGGTTTAGGGTCCCTAAATGCATCCTAAAGGCTAAACCCATATTATGCAGAAAACCTCCTCCACAACTTCCCACCAACGCACACTCTCATATTCTACAGTCTAGACCCCTGATTGAGTAAGAGCGATTGAATAAGAGCGCTAAGCCTTAATCTCGAAAGCCTTAGTTGGGTGTGAGTAGACGGTACTACAGCGGGCCTTCATAATTACATCAGGATATTGGGTGTGGGACTGTAGTAGAACACTTTATATTACTATATAGGTCTCCGGACCCTGCTATCACATCCTCGTCCAGAGATCCTAGTAGAACCAACACAAAGTAGAAACCAGAAAGTTTGAGCATCATTATCCACTTGTCCTTAAGTCAAAGGGTCGGGAATCCCAACACTACTCATCTTAATCGCATGTTCCAACTTTCTGGCGTTCACTTTAGATCGCTCAGAGCGAAAGGAAGCCTTAAGAAAGTCTGCAGCGACCTAACCCAAAGCCTTGTAAACCCAGAACCCACTAGAGAAGTCTCGTAGGAAGCCTTATGAACCCCTGAAAATCACCACACCCTAAACCCGAAACCCTTGGCCCTTGCAAGGTGCAGCCGACAGGCTCAACACGAAAAACAGCGCCAGTGCCTCTACAGGCCTGGGTTTAGGGTTTAAGTGTAGCATGGGTTTGCTGAACGTTTTTTTTGTGCAGAAGTGCCCACCTCAAGACCGCCCAAACACTACTCACAGCGAGGCAAACCATCCGGCTAGCCGAACCGAACGAGGCCAAGCCAAAGCCCATCGTTAGTTATACCAAGGATAGCAAGATATTAAATACGAACATCAAGGCATTGATTTGTCCTAAACCCTAAACCCTAAACCCTAAACCCTAAACCCTAAACCCTAAACCCCTAAACCGGGGGCTCCTGGTCGGCTTGGAAACGCGCCTGAATTCGCATCCAGCCTAGTCTAGCTGGAGGCTGGGAGGTCCACAATCCTCGGTTTAGGGTTTAGGGTT